GGCTTCGGGCTATAGCGATGAACGTCGGCTTTTGGATGGGCCTCTAGCAGCTGCGGATTTGATAGTAATCTGCTTGTGGTACTTTTTTTTTTTTTTTTTTTTTTCTTTTTTTTCGAGAATGAATATCGAAACTATCATACATGGGAATGCCATGCGTATAGTAGTTCTTTCAGGTAGCAAAGAATGATGATGCCGTGCCCAAGAACACGATATATTTTTGTTCACAATTGCTCCTCATGATGATTGCCTCATCCACAACATGACATGATCACAACACAGACAATTGAAAAATTATTCTTGGTTATCTTTTGGATATGGGGGGTATGAATATTTCTATATGTGTAATGATCTAGTCTCCTACTAGACTAATTGTGTCTCTATTATGCCACATAGCTACGGTTCGAGTTCAACTCGCGGTGGATTCGGGTTGTGGGTCTGGTCAGGTCACTAGACTATTACCTACCCATTGATAGTCCATATCATAGATACCCAGAGCTTGCAACATAATACCACCGCCTCCTAATGAGAATTCAATTTCCCGCTGTGAGCATTCTCCAGTCCATTACAGGGGTAAAGCACATTCTGCGTAAATCTTGGCCTATATTGTAAATGTATGCGTAAAATATTCATCAATTGGCCTGCTGGCCCAATGGTAAGGCGCTTGACTACGGATCAAGAGATTGCAGGTTCGAGTCCTGCGTAGGTCATTTTTTTGGATTTTTTTCACCCCCTACCCCTCCTTGTAAATGATTCCCCAGAGAAATTGAACAAGGAGGGGTAAGTGAACAGCTGCGATCTCGATTTGATTACATTTTTCTTTCTCTGGTGGTGTGTATCGTAGATTTGGGGGTATATTCAGGTCATAGTAGTATGTCAAGGCAAAGAGAGCCCAGGGTTTAGTAATACCCGATCTATATATCTTCGCGTTATGCCTGAAAACCATCCTGCATGTCAAATAGATAACTGTCGAAATCGAAGCACATGTCTTGGAAGAACTCATCGAAGAATGACCGAGCACTGCCCTCTTGGGGCGGAGTATCTCCACTGCCGTCTGGAAGATTCATGATTCGACTTGAGAACGTCTCGAATGTGCGAATGCATTGTGGAATATATGTACTTAGGTGCTCGTGCGCTCGAAGAGAAGACATGACTTGTTTCCAAGACTGTGATACGGAAATTGTGAATAGCTCTGAGCTGAACATGGCGGCTAGGAAAATGGTTCCTGCGATGTGCAGATAGTAGATTCGGTACCACCAGGGTAGGAGGCCGATTGGTTCTTCGGGATTGTGAACCTCGAGAATGAGTGAGGTGATGGTTTGTGCTGCTTCGATGCAAATGGTGGCGCTTTCTCGGAGGAGGCGGTCGCTTAGGCTGGGTGGGTTGGAGGTGTGGGCTGGGGGTGGTGTCTTGGATTTTAATGAGTAGCGAGCGAGCATGGGCCTGTGGAGGCAGATTCGGGTGTGGAGAAGGCTAAGATGAGTTAGCAAGGTCAATGTTGGACGGTCTATAGGAGGGGCGCGAGTGATTCCTCTTCGCTTCTATCTAGGAGTCTCTTTGAATGATTTCGAAAAGGAAAAAGGATGTTTGCGCACCGAAGATGAAGCAGATATCCCTCTGCTCGAGACACCCGGTCGACCACATTTGGAATGTTTCGCAGCTGCCAGTCGCTGGGGAGGCTCTCCTCCCATTTGTTGAGAGAGGTGTCTAATTGCACCGCTACCGCGTGGTATTCGTCTTGTTGATACAGACGTGGCAGCCCCAACCCGGCAGCGAGACTATTTCGAGTCTGTGTCTGCGCCAGCTGAATGTGACTGCCAATTTCATGTAGCTCCAGCGCTCGCCTAAGACGCTCAGCATGCCTACCCGATTTGTGGCCCCCGCTCAATGACACGGAAGCGGGTCTGCTCGGTAAGGGGGTTAGAGATGGCGCGGATGTCCTACCAAGTGACCACGAAACGCATCTACGCTCAATTAGCGATACCCTATACAACATCCATTAATACGCAATGAACATACCGATCAAGGGCAATACAGCTAGCCCAAACCCTCTCCTTCAGCTCCCTCTCTTTGACCGGAGACGGCTGAGCACACATATTTTGCGCAATTCGCATGGCCAACCCCGCCGTCATCCATGTCTTCTGTTGATTGTTGGTGCAGTGGAGATATCGGTTCATAAGCATCAAGCACTGAACCAGCTCGATTGATCCAGAGGTCCAAAGGATTGTCTCAGGGCGGAGAAGTGCCCACGCAAGTCGAAAGTAGCCATTGGCCTTTTCATCGCGTGCTTGCTGAGGAATCAATTCTTGTCTCTGTACGGCCAGGGCGAAGACAGTATTGAGTATACTAGGCCAATAATCTTGATCTGCGTGTCGGAATGAGCCACAGTCAGAGTAAAATTGCTCGTAGTGCCTGTGAAAATGTTCCGGATCTAACACGGGCTCAGCGGGATCGATGTGTTGGAAATATATATTGACAAGGTTATCAGCGGATGGTCGAGGAGGCAGTTCAACAACAGCGCCAAGGTGTGACAGCGAGTCCAAGTCGACATCTCCAAACAAGGGCGCATCTACAAATGGGACACGATTCGAAGTTGCAGTCAAGCTGAGCCCGTTCTTCGCGTCTATGGCGGCCGCAACGTCGCCAGCGAACCGACCATGAGCTGTATAGTAGGTACTATCTTGTTCTGGGTCTGAATCCTGTGTTCCATTCAGAAGTTCAGTGCTAGTAGAACTTGCACTTATGGATTGTGGCTCAATTGACTGCGCTCGTGAAACTGGAGGCGAGACCGGAATCGGAGTATGAGCGCGAATAGGGGGTGTCTGCTTGACGGCTAGGTTGCGAGGCGTTTGCTGACCGGCAGCCATGGAGCTCCTAGTATACGTGCATGTTTTTCTCCTTCCCAGGCATCTAGAGCAAGCTGCAGATATGACCGGTCAGACTCATAGTGAGAGGGAAATGGTGGGGGAAATACCCGGGCGACCACCGTCGCACTTGACCTTTCCCAACCGACAGGGCTGACAGGCGGTTGAGATTTTGAGTCGCTGCCTGCGTATCGATGTAAGAAGATGAGGTTGATGTTTCTCGTATCTGAGAGTGGGAGCCATGACACCCTGCACTGCAAGGATGGAAACAATGATGGAAGTGAGATCGAGCAGATGAACGCGATCGCCGGACAGGGGACCCAGGTCTGAGCCAATCACAGAGTGGTCCGTGGGTTGCCGCCCCACACCGGACCAGCATGCAATTGGCCTCTACCTTTAGGTGACCACCAATAAGAATTGGAGTTCTCAGCGAATACTCGCCGCATCGGAGCCAATCAAATGCAGGTCCGGTCTTCTCCCCGGTTGGCATCACAGTTATTCCTCCTATAAGTTGTCTTCAGTAGGTATACGAATGGGCAACCATTACTTCTAGACTTCGTCTTCACGATATGTCTTCACATATGAAACCATCAATAGCCAACCCTGGCGAGGCGGAAAAGTCTCATGTCTATGATGGCCAAGGTACCGAGGAAGACCCTTTCCTGGTGGAGTTCTATGAACAAGATCCGGGAAACCCCATGAACTGGTCTCCTATGAGGAAGTGGCTCATCACAACCATCGTTACACTCTCCGTGTTCGCCGTTACGTTTGCCTCTTCAGCATACTCCGACTCCGCCAACGAAGTCATTCAAGACTTCAACATTAGCACGGAGGTCTTTACAGTTGGAATCACCCTATTTGTGCTGGGGTTCGCAATTGGGCCAGCAGTATGGGGTCCTCTGGTTAGTACAGTCTATGTATATTTCAGACTCAAAGCTGACACCTCTTTAGTAAGTTTCTTTTATGCATGTCCGCATCCCTACTAACCTGGCGATATGGCAAAGATCGGAACTATACGGAAGAAAGATTCTCTGGATCATCTCCCACATCGCCATGGTAGCTTTTATCGGAGGTACCGCGGGAAGCCGAAACATCACCACGGTCCTCATCTTACGGTTCTTCAGTGGCACGTTTGGGGGATCACCATTGGTCAACTCCGGAGGTGCGATAGCAGATTTATTCCCCCCAGCTCAAAGAGGGCTCGCCATGACACTTTACTGCGTTGCACCCTTCCTTGGCCCCATCCTTGGCCCTGTGGTGGGCGGATTCATCTCGGAGCACGTCGGATGGAAATGGGTGCAGGGGGTGTGCTGTATCTTCATCGCCGTGATCGGCATTCTTGGTGTCCTCTTGGTCCCGGAGACATATGGGCCCGTGCTGCTGAGTCGAAGGGCAGAACATCTCTCCAAGTCCGATGGCAAGACTTATATCAGTGTACTCGAAAAACACCAAGGTAGGATGAAGCCTTCTGAAATCTTCCAGAGAGCTCTGGTACGGCCTTGGGTGCTACTTTTCGAGGAACCGATCGTAGTAGTGGCCTCACTCTACATGGCCCTTGTGTATGGCACGGTCTATATGTTCATGGGGGCCATGCCGATCGTGTACAACGAAGACCGCGGCTGGAACGAGGGCATCGGGGGTCTTTCCTTTACGGGCATTGCCGTTGGTATCATTCTGGGATTGGTCTACGCTATCTACGACAATAACGCACGATATATGAAGCTCTTTCTTTCTCAAACCGCCACGGCGGAATCCCGCTTACCGCCAGCCATCGTGGGTGCTGTTGCCTTGCCGGTCGGGATGTTTGCCTTTGCGTGGACCAACTACCCGAGTATTCACTGGTCTGTGAGTATTGTCTTGTCCGCGCCATTTGGGTTTGGCTGCGTTCTGGTCATCTTGCCGCTGGTTAACTACCTCATCGACTCCTACACTATCTATGCAGCCTCGGTTCTGGCGGCGGCAGCTATTTTTCGATCTGTTGTGGGTGCGGTGTTTCCATTGTTCACGACCCAAATGTATCACAATCTCGGCATCCACTGGGCGTCTTCTATACCGGCGTTTCTGACGTTGGCTTGCATGCCTTTTCCAGTGGTTATGTATCGCTACGGGGGAGCGCTGAGGACGAAATGCAGATATGCGTTCGAGGCGGCGGAGATGATGCGGCGGATGCAGCAGCCGGCTTCGGTTGCAACAAAGGGGGAGAATTCTTCTACAGAGTGAAGTGGGCATGCTGTCGTGCCCGTGTCCGACCGGAAGTCCGGTGTGGGGGATAGATGGCTGACAAGGGGTAGAGCGGCGTGTACTGAATATAGAGGTTGGGAAAGGGGCAGTATAATATGATGGATGGTGAACTGGTTTGCCTAATCTCTTTGGTCGTAGTCTACTTTCTCGAACCATTCTAGAACAATACTTTGGAAGATTCTGGAAGAATTGATAGGATACAGCTTATTCAAGTGGAGAGGGTAAGGGGTGTCATCCACCAGGTGGTGGCGTTTCTCAGGGTCTCTTTCTCCGTCAGCAGGGAAATTCTAGCCGAGGGATACCGGTTGGACCCTTTCTCGGATGTAACCACGGGAATTCCAGTTAATCACATTGCTCACCGGTGGGAGAAAACAATAACAGTGATATGAATGAGACAAAGTGATCGGCAGATGGCATCACCAGGAATAGTGGGGAGATCGATCAGGGACAGCACGCTCTGATAAACGGTTCGGCGTGAGAAGCAAGAAATCCAATCTGTCTGAAACCACAAGCTTAAAGAGGCCAAGCTTCGCTGCCTGCCTGCCGCGCGGGAAATTGGGTCCTCTCGATTGTGCTTGTTGCCGGCAAGCTTTCGGCTCTGATTAGCGAGCTCGGCGCGCTAGACCGCATCCTGCAAACCATAATCCGCCCGAACGTTCCAGGCTAACCCCAGGGGGGCCAATTTTATATTAATTCATTTGTAGGCATTGGCTGGACGTCGTCGGCAGGAATGATCGTCCGAGACCCTGCCTGATTGCAGCCTCAGCCCTCTGCCTCAGGGTCTCTGCCTCAGGGTCTCTCACTCCTATTGAGCTCACACGGCTATCCGTGTCTTCCGACCCGTCCCAACGGCTATTTGACAGGTTCCTGAATAATCCTCTGCTTGCCCGTGCGTTGAGTCAATGGCGGCTGGGTCCGACAGATGTGCTCCTCTCGTTATCCAGCGAGATGGATTTCCGTTCGTATTCGGATAATTCACCGGTTGAACACCGGCTTCTGCTGATAGGTGTAAATTAAGCCTTGCCGAATCAGGGTTCGCCAGAACGCTAATCGGCAAGTCGTTTTCAAGTGAAACTAGTTCGGGATGCCTCCTCTGGCGGCATCTTTCGGCATGTGTATAACCTTCGTCGGGAGATACCGTCGAGGACAGAAGTATAAGAGCCACCCAGCTCGCTGCTACCATTCATCCTTTTCTCATCATCACATTCCTTAAGATCAAAACTACCATTCTTTAGACCTTTCTTTCCATTCTCTTCCCATCACCATGCATTCGTTTTCCTCCCTTCTCGCCTACGGCCTGGCTGCCGGGGCTACCCTTGCCGCTGCCTCTCCCATCGAGGCCCGGGCCAGCTGCACCTTCACCACCGCGGCGGCCGCCAAGTCCGGCAAGACTGGCTGCACGACCATCGTCCTGGACAACATCGAAGTCCCGGCTGGCACCACCCTGGACCTGACTGGCCTCAAGTCCGGCACCAAGGTCATCTTCGAGGGCACCACGACCTTCGGCTACGAAGAATGGGCTGGCCCTCTGATCTCGATGAGCGGAACCGACATCACCGTCACCGGTGCCTCGGGCCACCTGATCAACTGCGACGGCGCTCGCTGGTGGGACGGCAAGGGCGAGAACGGCAAGAAGAAGCCCAAGTTCTTCTACGCCCACAAGCTGGATTCCTCCTCCATCACCGGCCTCAGTATCAAGAACACCCCGCTCATGGCCTTCAGCATCGAAGCCAACGACATCACCCTCACCGACATCACCATCAACAACGCCGACGGTGACTCCCAGGGTGGCCACAACACCGACGCCTTCGACGTCGGCAACTCCGTCGGCGTCAACATCATCAACCCCACCGTCCACAACCAGGACGATTGCCTCGCCATCAACTCCGGCGAAAACATCTGGTTCACCGGCGGTACCTGCGTCGGTGGCCACGGTCTCTCCATCGGCTCCGTCGGCGGCCGCTCCGACAACATCGTCAAGAACGTCACCATCGAACACTCCACCGTCAGTGACTCCGAGAACGGTGTCCGTATCAAGACCATCGCGGGCGACACAGGCTCCGTCTCCGAAGTCACCTTCTCCAACATCCAGCTCTCCACTATCTCCGACTACGGTGTCGTCATCCAGCAGGATTACGAGGACGGCAAGCCCACCGGTAAACCCACCAACGGTATCGCGATCACCGATATCAAGCTCGACGGTGTCACCGGTAGCGTGGACAGCAAGGCCACCGAGATTTACCTCCTCTGTGGCTCGGGTAGCTGCACCGACTGGACCTGGGATGATGTTAAGATCACCGGTGGTAAGAAGTCCACCGCTTGCAAGAACTACCCTTCGGTGGCTTCTTGCTAGGTTACTCGCCAGCCGGAAACCTAATACACAACCGTCGGACCGATGGATTCGGTTTGATCTGTATTCATTCACCCTAGTCTTAGTCTTAGTCTTAGATAGATATAATCGCATATAAACAGGTGTTCACCACTAATTACATCCCTCGTAGAACAATTCCCACCAACTCTTCGATAGAATACAAAGTAGTAAAACTAACAAGTAAAGAACCATAAGCATCATAAACTATAGAAATATGATTTATATCTCGTACTCACATCACTCAACCCACAATAGACGCGTATCAAATACAGCCGGTAAATATACCGCCCATTACCCCATTCTTCCTCACAGAAACCAATCAAGGTCCATTCCCGTCCACGTGGTGTATCACTCATACTAGTAAATAGTACTATTACCCGTATCACAAGGAATAGTCTGTCTGTGTCTACCTTATCATCGTGCAGAGTAACCCCGTATAATACCACAAGTAATCCATCAAGAACAGCCCACCACCATCTGCGCTAAGATGACTGTCATTACGATACTACCCTAGCCCATTAAACACGTACTAGACAAGGAATAAACCAACTATCGCGACTACTTCAACACGCACCACCAACTACAACATTGGTACCTGGACATAGTCACCAACAACAGAAATAAATTAAAGCGAGCGACACTACCTAAAAGCACCCAAACAGCAATAAACTAAATACACGGAATAGACAGCTCTCCCGCAGACTCCATAATCCTAAAAATCACCCCCAGAATCCACGTAACCTGCGGCACCGAGCCATCCCACGTGAGCTTTAGAAACCGCACCTCGTTCTCCAGATCCAAGCGATAGAAATGAAATTGCTTCCCGTCCGTCACGAGCCCGTATAGGGATCCGCGCCCTTTCGTTTGAAGACGGTCTTGATCGCGTTGAAGAAGACCTATCCGGAGTCAGAAATAAACAACCCGAATCAAGCCGGGAGAGTGAGGGGGAAAGTGGGAGTGGGCTCACCCATATAAGCCAACAGCTCCGACGCCCTCACATTGTCACATAGACGGACAATAAAATTCGTTTCCATCTTGTCCATATCCCCATACCACAGACTGAAATCGATCAAACCGTGGATCTCACGCACAGACATTCCATGCAGAGTCATCCGTCTGATACGCACCGTCTGACTTAATCGAAGTTTCTCCATTCCATGCACCTCCGTAACCGATTTCAATAGCTCATTCAGAATGATCGAGACGAGGCGTCTGGCAGGGATTGTTCGGGGCCATTTAGTTGCTCTATCGATGAGTTCGCGAGCTATATTTAATCATTCGTTAGGTACAGACACCACTGATGAAAGAGGCGGGAAGAGGACGTACTCAATCCTTCGGGCTTCCCGTCCTGTTCGTCGTCCCATAGATTACCGACATCTACAAAATCGAAGCCGAAGATGTCCTTGATGTCGCCGCAGTGTAAGTCCGAGGCGTTGCCGGTGCGATAGAGGCCTACGGCTTCGAGTGCGGTCTGGGCGGAGTTGCTGAGGTTGGAGGGAAGGGCGCTGGCGTGGATGAGGGATACGGCGTTGGTGACGCCGGTGACGGCGGTGGATAGATAGGATGGTTTGCTCATTGTGAGTAAGGATATGTCGTGAACGAATGTAGCAATGAGATGATGAATAGCGAGTGATGGTGTAAGAGATGGTGATATATGGGAGAGCTGGGGGTTGGGCTGTTATAAATTGTCGCTGGCTCATCTCGCTCCTGCCTTTCTGGGCCTTGTTGCCAACTGCCCACTGCAAGGAGGAGCGGATGCCTGATAGGCTGGGAGACAGCTGTCATGTTATGGCCGGAAAATAATGACAAGGAAAGAGGAAGAGAAGGCACGGAGCAATGCATAGAAGCTGCAAACATCGATTTGAAGAAAAAAAAAATTCCAATGATAAGTAAACGGTGACAAGCTCTTACCTATAACGGGTTGAAGCCATCGACACACCACTGAGCGGACTGAAGTTCGGTAAGGCTGAGTAGGACACAAGTATATAATTGGGAATGTCACACAATTGATGTTCTACTACGCTGGATTCGATCACCAGAACAGTCTACCCTCAACCCAAACCTACGCCCTCGAGTGATACAACTCCCAAAACGCCCCCTTTCGCCCTAACAACTCCTCCGGTGTCCCCATCTCGAATATACTCCCCTCACTCATCACGATAATAACGTCCGAGTCCATCAGAGTACCAATCCGATGCGCAACACAAATCACCGTTCGGTCCTTAAACCCCTCTCTCAGAATACCCTGAACGAGCTTCTCAGTCTGCTCATCAAATCCACTCGTCGGCTCATCTAAAATGACCAGTCTCCCCGGGAGAAGCAGAGCACGCGCAATGCCCAAAAGCTGCTGTTGCCCGTTGGACATGTGGATGAACTGGACATCGGCATCTAGACCCCCTTGCTCAAGAATCTGGGGCCAGAGATGCACGCTCGAGGGGCCAGATATCATTGCTGAGTCGTTGATGGCTGCTGTGGCACCGAGGGATAGGCTCTCGCGAACAGAGCCGGTGATGACGAGTGGGTGTTGAGGAATGGAAACCATGGCAGCGATCGCGACGGTAGAAACGGCGATGTAAGAACCAAGATAAGCGTAGTTGTTCCGAGGGTTTGATTCAGCCCACCATGTGAGCATGAGCTCTGTGTCAAAGGTAAGCGCGGTGAATCGCTGCTAGAAGGAATCACTTAGGTGGAAGCGCAATACACACCACATATAGTGTGGCAAAAGTCAACGTGAAGGCGAATGCCCACCATCCGAAGGACTTGATGTAGTACGCGTAGAGTGAAAGGTCTCCAGTGCCGCGGGTTCGGGTTGGTGTTGTTCCTTGGGTAGCCCTTGGTCCATTGTCTGGTCCTGTTTGCGTTTCATTGAATGAAGTCTCTGTATCTTCATCTTCTTTGTCTTCTTTGGAGTGCGTCCGACAGAACAGTTCCTGAATATATTGATTCCTCCCCAATAGTTCTTCCAGTGACTCTTGATCTGCTATGCGACCATCGCTGGAAAGAACGATCACATTGTCCGCTTCCTTAAAACAGTCCACTACACGTAAAAGTTAGTCAGCCAGTGAAAGCAGTCAAGCGATAGATACTAACCAGCAGTAGTCGCAAGGACTGTCGCTAGCCCAAGCTTTCTGACAAGCCCAGAGGGACCGAAGACTCGTTGGCAGACACGCTTGCATGTCACTGCATCTAGCGCACTAAGAACATCATCTAGAAGAAGTAGGTCGGGCTTCGCATAGAGCGCTCTCGCCAGCGCCTACCATGAATTACACAACTTTGTTAGCACCAAGGCGAATGAAGTTTATAAGGGAAGCTTACCACTCGCTGCTTCTGTCCTCCACTGAGCTGTGACCCTGAACTTCCTACGACCGTGTCAAGCCCGCTGGGGAGGCGTGCAACGTCGACCTCCAGGTTACATGCGTGTACCACCTCCTTCAACCACTTCTCATCCATGGGTGACTCCCCGATGATGTTTGTTTGCAGCGTACCGTTAAAGATCCACGGATCCTGCTGACAGTATGCCATTCGAACAGGAGCAATTGATATTCTTCCCTGGGTTGTATTCAACTCGCCCAATATAGCCTTTAGTAGGGAGGATTTGCCGCAGCCGAGAGGACCGGTCACAACCGAAAGCGAACTAGGCCGAATCTTCAGGTTTACGGCTTCAAGGACGTTGGAGGAACCGGTGGGTAATCTGAAGGAGGCACCCTCCATGCTAACAAGCTCCTGACTGTTCGCCATCAAACTCATCTCAATTCCGGATGACCCCATCATCATTGACTGATCCGTATGATGGGATTTGCCCTCTGTTGAAAGAAAGTCCTGGATGCGATCGAAACAACCAATGGCAGAGGTAAACCTAGTCGAAGAGACCGATATAAGCACCACTGGATTCGTCAAAAGGGAAATCAGCGACAATGACGTGAAGACCAGGTCAGTCTTGGGAGTCTCCAATTTCAAGTTCAGCTGCGTTCCGGCATACACCGCAATGGTGGCAGCTGGGGCGAGGGCGGTTGACACTGCACCCAACACATTTACCCATACAATGAGCGACCAATATGGTTTCGACGATTCTAACTCGGCCTCACGAAGGCGGTTTATCTTCGATTCCACGGTTGGCTCGATGCCGAACATTTTCACTTGGCGCATGCCCTTGAGTATTGCTGAGGTGAAGCTGATTCTTTCCTGGACGGCGCGTACCCACGCTCGTTGGCGGAGGCGCATTTGAGGCGCTATATAAGCGCTTTGTAGGACGCTTACTAGAAGATATTAGCCACATTGATATTCTATTCCTTTCTATACAATGATCTGGGGATACTTACACGAAGCAAACACCAGAGCTGCCACCGAAGGGTACCCTATAGTTGTACTCAGAAGCGACAGGGCAATAATAATCTCCGCTGCGGATGCCCAAAGTTCGTGTATATTTAACATCCCGGTGGTGATACGGTCCACATCGGTACTCATCAAAGTGACCGACGTCGTCTCGACAGGGTCCGACGCCTGGTGAAGAGTCTGCGCGTAAATCATTCCCACCAATCGAGCCCGAATCATTGTGATCATGCGAATGGTTTGACGTTTGTAGAGACCATTACTAACCTACGGTATGTAGCCTATCAGCAATGACCCGAGTTACAAAGGAGTAAGGTCACCCACCGCCAATCCCACGTAGATGAGAACCGTGGCACCGCCAAAGCCATATCGTGCGCCCGAGGGCTCATCACGGCCATGATCAGACACATACTTGATCAGGACATTTATCAGAAATGGTTGCGCAAATTTGAACCCAATGAGACAGATTCGAGGAGCTGCTGCTGCGGCTAGGGTCCATTTCAACTCGCCGACAACTCTGCGAAGGAGAACGTGTCGCTTTTGTTGTTTCCCTATAACCAGATTAGTATCGGAGCTAGACCATGACCACTTGCGAAACTCACCTAACTTGTTACTCTGCCAATGATGAAGACTGCTACCCAGAGCTCTAGAGCTCAATCCCTCATCCAAAGGATAGAATCATCAAGAGCCAGATTCCCTCGAAAACCACTCAAAAACAACTGATTCAGCCACCAATAGACACTGCGACCGAATATCCCAGTCCCTATTTCTGGCGAGAAGTGATCATCTTTTGACCTGAAGGAGCTTTTCTTGCCGCGTGCTTCTGATATCAAAAGCAGTGTCCTGATCCCAAGTGCGAGGCTAGCCGTTACGGCAAGACGGAAGTCCAGAGGACGGATCAGCCACAAAGTGCGAACTTGAACAATGTTGAACAGGGTCGTCGCGATCAGGTAGAGACAAATCAAAGTTGAAGGTCTCAATGAACGAGTATGTTCGTAATGCGACAATATCAGCAATGCCAGAGTGCTTGTTAGGGATACTGCTGCTGAGGGAATCGAGACATTCGTTCTTGGGGCTCGTGGTAGAGACCACAAAACGAGATTGGCAACCTTCACCGCCAACAAGAGAGCAATAAGTGCCTACATAGGTTTAGAAATGATCGACCGCGTGTCGAGGAGTAAAACTAACCGTCTTCCAGACCCCGAGAAAGCTCTGACGCACTTTCGTGGCTCTACCATAAATCTGCTGCCACCGGAAAGCACATAGCACCAAAAAGAGAAGATCTGGGACCAAGCCAAGAATCGTCTGCTCAAAGAGCAAGGTAAAGTCGAAATCTCGACGGCAGGGAAGCACTCCAGGCCCAAAGTGGTTCTCAGCGGAGAGCCCGCACCTCATTCCTTGTTCGCTCATTGTAACATGGAATGTGCTGATGTGGTTGCAGGCAGAGTGGGCTCCAAGCCTTATGAATGAGTAGCAGTTCCTGACTCAACGATACCCCTCACCATGAGCGTCATTTCCGCCTAGGCACTGTTTCTTTGTTCCGTCCTGTAGCCTAAACGCCACGGGATGACCCCTGTTCAATTCGTTGGCTGAGATGGCTGCGATAAGACGTTAAGGCTGACAGTTGGATCGTCGAATAATTCCGTCAAGCACGTTTTCCCCATCCAATGGATGTCGGCCTCGGCAATTAAACAAGCTTTCAGCCCGCAGCATCCATCGCCTGGCACATTTGCTCGAATGTGGAGGCTGCTCTGGACATCTCAAATCGCTGTTAGTTGCGAAATGAGAAATATTAAATTCCCTCGCTGAATATGCTTGAATAAACCGACATCGTGTTGGTAGGATAATTCGGGTCAGTTCTCTGTCCTCCAAGGACTTGGAGAGCCAACTGACTCCTTCATTTTTACCCCAGCGACAGTGCATTCATGAAAGATCGTAATTATTTCCCCATTGCCTGCAAACAGTTTTCCACTCACTCATGACCACGTTATGCAGACATACTATCCAACCCATATTGACCGCTACTCACCCCGTGCATAGCACCCATACGCAAACCGCAAGGGATACCGCCCAGCCAAACTACCCCATATCCAAGTAATAGACATAACACATGCCAGTCATTTCACCTCATTTCTCAAACAAGACACGTCCCCCAAACCTGACCATCCCTCTCAACACAGCAAACAAAGCAACCCCACCTACAACTTCCCCCCAAACTCCCTCTCCATAAACTCCCTCACCGTCATCAACTCCTCCCTTCCCTCCCCTCCCTTAGCCCTAACCGCTGCCCTCTTCAACTCCCCCGCCGTCTCCACCTCCGTCGGTCCATTACAAAAATACTCCCCATCCCTGGACTGCGCAAACACAAACACATCCCGTTCCTGTTCCCGCCAAAACTCCCCTTGCGTGTTCATATCCTGGGGATCAAGGAGGGGGATATACCGTGTTTTTTTGCCCGTCACTATACCAGCACCTCGTTAGCATCAACCCATGCCTCATGCTTATTCAGAAAAATGAAGGTAGGGAAATCTTACCCTCCCCAAAAACCTTACTCACCCCCTCCGACCCCGAAACCTGACCCACCCCCTGCACAACCCTCCGATTCCACCTCCCCGGATTCAAAAACACCCCATGCACCAAATCCCCAAAGTCATCCGTGATACTGATCCAGGGAAAATCTTCTTTCCCACCCCACAGCGGCGTTTTGTACGTCAAGTACCCCTCTTCATCAGGGATGAGCGGGAATCCCCCGAAGAGATCGGCGTATTCGCGTTCGAGGAGGTTTTCCATGAACCAGCCTGCGATTATGGGCGTCGTGGTGCGGAAAGGGAGGGTTGTAGCGTGGGTGTAGACTTTGGATTTTACTGGTTTGTTGCCATCGATGTTAGTGGTTGTTTGGGGGTGGACTGGGGTGGGTATTAGGGGAGGGGAACGTACGATCAAGCCCGGGGATAGATATCGCCCCATTACTCAGTTCGAATACTGGAAGACCGGAACTATACACCAAATGCTGCACACCGCATGCCGCGGCGGTGGAGATGATGTTCCGTCCGAGGTCTTCGTCGTTTAGACCTTTTGCTAGTAGTTCCTATATTCCAGCGAATCAGTTCTTAACCCCCCCTACACCTCAAAACCAACCTAAATAAGGGAAGGAGAATAATACGAACCGGATCCTCAGAATTCGTATTCACAAATGCCCCCCAACTCCCCGCGAAAGCGAGGGATAATTCCTCGGTATTGAAGCCATCGGCTTTGACCACCTCTGCACCTAAACTGGCGAGGTGTCTGGCTTTGGGGGATGATGGGGTGCGGGTTATGGCGCGGACGCGGAAATTGGGGTTTTGGAGGAGGGAGGAGACCACGGAGGAGCCTTGGCGGCCTATTTTATTATACTTTGTCAGGGTGGATGGGGTTGTAATGGGAAGGAAAGGGAGGGGAGGGTACCGGTTGCACCGACGACGGTGATTAGTTTGGTGGTTATTGTCATTATATTTGGGGGACTTTCTGATATTGATAGATAGTTGGGGGTGGTTTGGTTGATGGGGTACAGGTTTAGTAGTTATGGGTTGTGGTTAGAGAGTGGCACATGCACGGTCGTATTGAAACCCCTCATCGGTGTAGTATGTGCTCTGCTGTAGGTAGATGCATGTCTTTGTTGTCAGTTGGCGTTGGAGTTGGCACATTCCCTTGCTTGCTGTGCGTGTGCTGTCATGTGCAAAATCAAGTCGATCTAGACAAATCTAGACCCACAGACTTCCAGCACAAGATGCGGTGACATCTTGCGTGGCAAGTATCCCTTGCATGAGTTGGAGACTATAATCATAGCCCTAGTAATAATTGTTCCCGGCAAAAGAAATCACAGAGTTTATGCCGTCAGTGCTAAGTAAGTGTATCGCTCGACTGGTAGATATTAGGATCGACAGGGATTGGATGTGTCGAATTGCTGTATCGATAGGCAGAGACGTCATCGATGAAAAAAAATGTATGTCTACTATGTACTGATCTACCAAGTGATAATACTCCTAGTGTACAGCGTTTCGCCGAAAGCTCTATCTATATACAATAGACGATAATTATAACAAATGACCACGCAGAATCGCTCAATGTGTCCAAAATAAAGAAATGCAACCAGTCAGTTAGCAGGCAATCTGCACCGGCTACTGAAGCACAGTATATGGTTGCGAGCCATCAGCTCAAGAAGTGACAAGGTGAAAGAAAGATGTAGTCACCCTCGTAAAATGCATAAATCTAAACAAATCAGTTTCGCTCATGGCAGTGCGTCTATTGGCCAACCGCTTGGTAGCCACGACGCGTCGCCCAGTCACTTTGCCTCCACTGCTTTTTGTACGTCTCCATCTCCGTCGGGTCCGGGGCCTGGGGCTGGCCTTCGCCAAGAGCCCGCTCGAGACGACCCTGACGGCGTTGTCGCAGGCAGTAAAACACGAATCCTGCAATTGCAATAGCGGCAAATGCTGCGGCACCGCAGTACACGCCGATATGCGCCGCCGTGCCGAGGTCGGCCCATTTCTGGGCCAGCGTCTTCGCGGGCTGCTTTTCGATCTCCGCCTGGGCGGTAGAGTTTCCACTAGAAATTGTTGATTAACAATTCAACTGACAGGAAAAGGTGAATTACCTGACGACCTCGATACTCTCATACGAGCCACTGGTTCCGTTGTACACGTATTCCTTCCCCGTGTGGAAATCTTGGACGCGGACCTTCGACACCGTCATGGTGAATGGAACATCCGACCAGTTGACCAAACCACCACCCCATTCAATGTTGCCGATGGACTCGGATGGAATTCCCACTGGCCAGTTGCTGATTTTGACCTGGCACGGGGTTTGGGGATAGTTCTTGCCGTAGACCGTGAGCGCCTCGGAGTAGTTGACCGTGCGCACGAGTTCCTGATCGATCCACCATTCCAAACGATCCTTGTCCCAGTAGGAGGTGTAGTTGTGGAATTCGGTATCTGCGTTCGCCACCGCATGGAAACCACCGCGGTCACTCGTCGTGGTGTTGCCCTTGCCGAAAAAGTCGGACTGCACCTCACTGGTATTGTATCCCACCCATTCCCAGTCAATTTCGTCCAAATCGTCGGATTGCAGGATCACGCTGCTGATGATGCCTGCTCCTTTGGCCATCTTGACATGTGCTTCCATGATGCCGAAGAAAATGTAAAAGTTGGAGACCAACAACGTAGAGGCATTTTCCGTCTTGATGACAAAGTCGGCGCCCTCCGACGTGTATTCCAGCGTTCCGGTTTGCATGTCCCAGAGTTTGCTGTCCAGTGTCGAGTTGAACAGCCATGTGTGCTCCGTTCCCAGAGCCGGGTCGGCGGGGCAGGTGGTGGTGGTGTTGAGGGGGTTACAATCGGCGCTCACGAGGCCGACAAGCGCACCCAAAAGCGCGACATGGCGAAAACCGAGCATGACGGCGCTGGTGTGGATGGCCGTGTTTCACGACCAACGCAGATGGGGGTGGAAAACCGGGTTGGGGAAAGGGCGGAGGCAGTTCTGGGGATGGCAGGAAAGGCGTTCGTGGCTCGTGGCAGGGCACAAGGAGGAGTCAGTCCATGACGGCGACACGGAGTTATAGCGCTGGAGATAAAAAAGCTGCTTCTAGCGAGCAGCTATCGATAGCACAGAAGCAAAGCGAGCAGCCACCAATCACAGGCCCGGTCGGGAGTTAGTCTCCGAGCCATGGGCGGGGGCTAATCCCACTCTAGACAGCTCTCAGGGGCAGGGTCAAACTCACCACTTAAAAATAGGGGCAACGAGACAGCTGAGCCGGTTTGTCCCTGAGTCTGAGAGCCCGAAAAAAAACTCAATTGTCGGGTGTCCCGGTGGCCATTCATGTCCGACTCCACTTGAGAATTCTCCAGGAAAATGCATTATCCCTCGTGAGGGACACCAGAGGAGTCCGTACGCATAAAATTCCGTGGCATCCGCTGTCCAGATTGCACGGTGGTGCCTGCTCCCGTCCGGAGGTGTCTGATCCAATTAAACGAGGATAGCCTCGCCCGAGCCAGATTGCAGGAGTTCGTAATATTACTTGGTTCCTGGAAGGCCACCGAGGGTTGTCCCAACGGGGTTGGTTGCCACTTCGAGCAAGCGAGACCTCTCCATCGCTCGATGAAGTCTAGCTCAGATAGCTTTTGTCACCATACCTAAACGAGCAGCTTTGTGCCCTATTAGTCAGCGGACTAGCGTAAATGCTAACCGGGATAAGACTAGTGGATCTGCCATCTGCCTGCGCAATCTGGATAGCGTGGGATCTAAATTTGCGCTGCTGCCTCTGTGTTGGCAGCAGGGGCTAGAAAGTTTGAACCTCTTCCCGAAGGCTTGTTTCTCTCAAACTTTGGAGTGCTCGGATCGATAGCGCTGACATCTTGGTACCCCGATCTGCCGCAACATCGGATTGAACTTGAAGTTGGAACCCCAAAAGATGAAACACCAACATAAGATCTAACGGTTAGCTTATGGCTGCCGCCTTTAACTGGCTCGACAGAACCTACACGGTCGGGTCAGTAGTTCATTCCATGAATTTCATTAGTTTTAGTCCAAGTGTGATGTTTCAGTCACATAGCCAATCGGATAGATAAGAACAGGTCCGCGGAGTGCAGGGGAATCAATCCACTTAATCCCAATGATATCATTCAATGGCACATAGCCTGCTTAATCTCGGGGATAAATCTGCTCGGGCGCAGCAGACTTGTAAGTATTATTGCTCGGCCTTGCTGCAAGCACATGGCAGGATTAATATAGTAACATTCGGCCATAACCAACTGCAGCAGACCCGCGTAACACAAACGGCATGAAAATGGCAGTCAACGCCCGACATCCGAACTGTCTCTGCTAAAAATGGAGTTCACCGTACGACTTCCTAGACACTCATTTTCTCACTCCGATAGCCTCTCCCACTTTCACGTATTGCTTCTCGTCCCAATTCAGCCTGACATTTGGTCGGAAGATGAGACAATGTGTGCTTCCTCCAAAATGGAACATACCAATCTGCTGGCCCTTGGTTACATAATCTCCAGCCTTTACGCTCGTCTCGCACGAGCCTCGTTCCAACAGCCCCGCAAATAGGCAGCAGACAACTCCCATGTCCGTAGTCTCAATGAAGATCAGGTTTCGAGTAGCCGTGTGCGCAGCGTATCCCTGAGACGCCGCTACCCAATCATCCAGACTCAAGCTATCCCGCTGTGCAGCACAGAACATCCCCGGGATCTCGAGACACCTAATGACCGTCCCCGAAACCGGCGCATGCCAGTGATGGTAGCTAGTAGGTTCGATATAGGCCTGGTAGATGGTACCTGCCACAAAGTCGCTTGTGGTCGGGTCACCGTCGAACATATGCTTCAGCGAGTACGGCTGGTCCTTGATCCAGAATTCATCGTCCTCTTTGATGTCAGTAACGATCTTATAGGCTGTTCCGTCAACACTAGCAACAACAACAGACTGATTGTTCGGTTCGCTGATCGGTCGGGCACCTGCGCGAAGCTCTCGATTGAAAAAGTCGTTCCAGGACGAGAAGCCCCAGTGTAGCTTTTCGGGGTCACAAATGAAAGTTTGCTCAAAATCGGGCATTGCGGACAACGCTTCGGGGCTGAACCAGCCATTCGGCTCGTCGGTCAGAACAACCGCTGACTCCGAGGACCAAAGGTAGTCGCTCCAATCCTTCAGAATCTTATGGAAAGCATCGTTGACCTTTTCGTGGACGAAGAAATTGTATCCCGACGACGTGCGGACGTATGGTTCAATGAACTTGGTCAAGGGGCTGCTCGCCCAGCGCTTGTTAGAGAATGTGGGCGGGCTTTGAATAAGAGTGTTCAATTGTACAATGAAGGTGGCGATGTTGTTAGGGACAGTCGGATTTCCGGGAGCGGCTTCCCTGAACATTTGCGAGCATAGCGCATAGAGCCTGGCATCGCCCTCAATCAGGGATCTCAGATTGCTGACGCTTTTGCTCACGCCTGTGGATGACACCGCAGAGGGTAGAATTCTCTTTATAAAGTCCATGTCTGAAGCAATGATTCAGGTGTCTGACTGGAGTTAGTGATCATCGTGCAGACAAGCTGGACACTGAGCAGGATGGGTGGCTTTTATGCCACGAGATGGAGGTTTGGAGGGGGATAACCAATGTAACACGCCACCAAAGCTTCCCCTCTCTACCCCTCTATTGTCCATGGATAGTCGAGCATGGATGACAATGGATCTGCCGATTGTTCCAACCCTATCATGGAGGTTAGATTAACCTCTTGTCAAACCATTGTCTTCCCACTCTGTTAGTCAACGTCGCTCTAGATCGATAATCGGCATAATGCATCTCACTCTGATGTAACTCCTCTCCGCATCTTTCTTGAATGCGGGGATGTCCCCACTCAGCATCGAACTTGAATGGACCTGTTATCACAGCTGGACTATTGCTGACACCAGCGCCTAACTTCACTAACTACACGGGTCGGTGTGATACAGTTGTCTAGTCTGTGAAACCTGAGTCTACGTCATCCATATATCAGATGGACCTGTGATACGTGACGATCTCATCGAAGGGGCTGGATGCGTTATTGACGATAACTGGTTTCTGACCGAAGATCAAGACTCGATGCAAGTGTTTATGGGCAGGGAAGCTGCAACTGGTTGATCCTAGTGGGGTCTTGGAATTGAAGGCATCAATTGGTCACCTGACGAACGATGCAGCCACACACACAGACACCACAGCCACATTTTCACCAGGAGGAACAGAATCATGATTCTACCAGCCACAGTAATTGTAACTAGTTTGATATATTAAAATACCAATATATCATATAGAAGCTTACTATATGGTTCGATCTGGTCAGATATTAGTGACATGGAAGAAGTGCAGCATTGAGCTAGTGAATGCGGGGTTTTAGTATATATGGTTATACCCCGCTATAATTTAATGAAATAAGCCCTTTCAAGCCATTCATCTTCGGTCCTGCAGATAAGCTGAACACCGACAAATATCATCACCCCACGAGATCAAGGAAGCTCTCAATGTACGCTGCGTAGATGCAGGTGGTCCTCACCATTCACTCCTTGGTTGTGCTGGGATTGCCCCTCTTCTCCGCTTATGAGTTGATGCCTCAGGCCAGAATCCTGCTCTCACCCCCGCCCACCGTTCGCCTCCGTCATCATGCCAACAATCAACACTTCCATCCTTCAGTTGTTTGCTCAGAGCTTCCCTAAATCGGACAGCCTAGTGTAGGATGCAGGCTGACAGGAATTATTACTCGACGATTGAGCCGCTCTGCCTTCCGATCGACTTCCTCACTCCTAACTGCTCATGACGTCAGTCCACAAGCGAACACCCAGCAATAAATTCCCATGTGTCAGAGAGTCGGTCCCGCGTTGATACCCATCTTAACAGGGTCTGATTTGATATCACTGTCGTTATCAAGGTCGTTAGTGATGAAATTGATGCCGATGAGAAGAAGCTGGAAGGAAAGAAAACATCAAACAAATAACGAATGGTGTACTTCTTGAATCAAGGGGACAAGCTCGGAACCCAGTATGATACGGCCCCAAAATGGTGAGGAACTTATTAGTAATCTCCAGCGCATCGAAAGTTGAATGAGCATCATTGTTTAAACCTTCCGATACCCCACGCCAAAACAATACATCAAGCCTGCAAGTGATGGCCTTTCTCTTCGAGGAGATGATCTTGCCGTGCTGCTCAAGTACACGCGAAGCTGGTTTGTGGAGTACAGACTTGACACATCCAGACGATCTTGCCAGATGCAACCCAGAGAGAAATCGCCTGTGGAGTACAGCTAATCCTTTAGAGACCAAATGGCGGGTGCGGGCGTCTCAGAAGATGGCGCGGTAAGACCGACATGTGTGCATGACTTGGATGCTATAGCTAAACATTAACAGTTACGACAGTTGCGACATGACCACTATCTGTGTCAAGACAGAGTATAATCTCATGATACTTGATCAATATTGACGGCCAAACTTCGACACCTTATATAAAAACATGATCCGAAAAAATCCAATGCGGCCCTTGTCGGAGAAGGACCGACTGGGACCCCGATACCTCCGAGGCTGGACGGACCGATCCACCTTAATCGGGCAATTTTATTCCGATCGAATTGCGTCGTGTCAAATCGTTTCAGGATCCAAGTACGGAGTACGCCCGATCAATATGGATTGCTACAGAGAGCTCGTTTTGGGCACGCCTTGGGGTCAGAGAAAAAACAGTATACCTACGGTATACCTACGGTATCGACCTTCCAGCGCGTGGCTTGTCAGTGCTGGAGGTTCATGATTCCATGATATGGTTCATGTCTGATGTACGGAGTGCATGTTGGTGGAAAACGGGATGAGCCGCTGCCGATTAAGCCCACCTTGCATCATGGCGTATACCAGGTAAACCGCGATCGTATTAACCTCCGACAAAGTGGGAACTCTGATGAAATGACCAAGCCACTGTGTCCTCAATTCTGCCCTTTAATCTCCTGAGTGAGTATGAGATAGGGCTGGGCAAGATTCATAGCACCATCTGTCATCTACGTTGAGGTTGCTGCTGTAAATTTCGATGGGATACAGTACATCTAAACTTTCAGTGGGGATTTGGGCACTCTGGGGAACCTCGTACCACGGCGGATCTGCAGTTTCATTACGCCGTGCCTTTCAAGGCCATGGGTTTTAGCGAGTGCTAGTCGATTTACGGAGTACAGAGTATTCAGAACCATCAGACTAAACACGGCCTACCCCAAAAGGCCGCGTAATGCCGATCGTGCGCTGTGTTTCTTCACAAAGTATAAGAATCGCTTCTAAAACCAGGGTGACTGAATGACCGACACTCATCTGTTGTGCTATCTTCGCAGATAATGTACAAATCACTTGCTGCCCTTGCCCTTGCGGCTGGAATGGCCGGCGCCCAGTCGCCGCCCGGATATATCCCTTCATCTTCTACATACCTTGGCCTGCAATTCAACACCACCGTCATCGCTCCCGGTCGCTTCATCGATGCTTCACGTAAGGACTGCTCTCCATCGTCTGGAGTTCGACAGATATAAGCTGACGCTCTGAAGTCGCCGCGAACGCTCCTATCACATTCCCCGCCAAAACCAGCGACGATCCGCTTACGTACCAAGTCTTCATGCTTGATCTCTCCATTCCCTCAATAGCTGTCACCGCGGATACAGGCTACCCAATCGTTCCGGGCATTGCAGCCAAAGACACAACGCGACTCCACTGGTGGCAGGGTAATCTCACCGTGCATGATGGCATTTTCGTCAATTCCAGTCAAGCGCTGGCGCCCTGGAATACCCCAGAACCTGTGGGTACGGCGGATCATTACTATGCCTTTTATCTGTTTGCCCAGCCAGCGGACTGGAGTCAGTCTGCGGCTGCTCTGGATGGGCTCTATTCTGATCCCTCTGGCGATTCGCGGTACAATTTCAGTTTGGTCGCCATAGTGGAGCAGGTTGGGGAGCCGGTAGCAGCGAATTATTTTCTGTCTCTGGAAAGCAGCTCTTAAGTTGGGCGGGATGGGTACATGTGGGTCCCTTTCTGGCTGATGCGTGTATCCACTCGGAAAAATAACTGGCGCTGCTGGGTAGTGACAGGGCTGTTTCAGGTACGTGGGGTGTGTGGCCTAGAGGTAGATAGGATGTGGGATATATGCCCCCTATGTATCCAAATATCGATACGGGGCCTGAATGTCCTGATAAATATATAGGTCTAGACGGCCGACAAGCGGGCTCTTCGGTTGTCATCCGCCATTCCAGCCCACAGTCCGGGCCAATGGGCCAAGCGGCTAGAAAAAGCTTGGCCTATTCAAATATGCAGCTAAAGAAGGGGACTTGACCAGGCTATTTTTATCCTACACTATTGTACGGCGTCCGCCGTCCGAATGCCTTTGGTCGGCAGCCGGCCGGGGAAAGTGGGTACCAATGAGGCTGTCCTGACTCGGCCTTTAAGTGCAGAGAAGTATGGCCTATATTAGACCACCATCTTGCTGGCGATGGCTGAAAATAATGGCTAGCCCACTACTGGCCCTCGTGAGGAGCATGGATGATTCTGCAGCCACCGAGACCGCTCTCCAGTCGACCGCCGCTCTTCCTTCACCTACTTGCTTACTGTTGCGACCCTGACATCTTGACTGGCTACTCACCGACTCGGAGCTTATCTATATCATTCATATTATCATCACTTCCGTGCAATCCGCGGACCGCCTTAGGCTGCCAGGCATACGTCCTCCCGTGAACACGGCTGTCCAATCAGAAATGGCCAGTCACATGAGACGGGCCGGCCGAGGCCATCGAGGCTTCGATAGTCCGTCCGTCTCTTTCTTTCTTCCTCCCATCGGATTTCACCCCTGTCTTCCGTCTGAGTCAATGTCTTATCAATTCTTATCGGTTGACTCATCTCCTCCGTCGGACTCTCAAACGGGACGCCGCATCGAGCGACGCCTTCCTCTTCCGGCATCGCGCGGAGGAGCTGCTTATCAGACGCGCCGCCCGTTGGCCGACTGGATATTGCTGACTGCAGTAGCGCCAGCCTACGCCATCCGCTCAAATTAACCCGCCATCCCTCACCCCATCTTTTCTATCGCCATGTCCCCCAGCTACAGGGTCCGCGCTTTCACATTCTCCAAGTCTCAGCTTGGTCGGCACGATGGAGCTCTCCATCGCCCCCGGTGAGGCGGCGATTGTGCTCTTTGTCCTGACTTTTCTGGGCACTCTGCGGCCCGCATGGAGATTGCTCCGGACGAGATCAAAATCCCCGACTTTTGAAGACATTCGGCATGAGGACAAAGATGGAGCGGCCACAAAAGAGTCCATGGCGCAGTTCTCGAATAAGCGCGCTTTCATCGTGCTCTTTGTGTTTGGACTATGTGGACTGGGACTGTCATTCGCAGACCTGGTGATCGCTGCGGTCAACGCGCATGGAGGGAACAATGTCGCCGTGGGAATCTGGCTGCTACCGCCAGCATGGGTAAGTCAACACAATTCTGCCATGAGAGACCTGTAATTGGGGCGGGGCCGCTGACATCTCCAAGTTGTTCCTGCTGGTGCAACTTACAGACACCATCCGCGAGGCACAGCCGGTTGCGAGATTTGAGAGTGCCATGTGGAAGCAAGTTACAACCGTTATGATTGGAGGCATCGCCTTCGACGCTCTAGCCAGCGAGTACGCCCACAGCAGCAGTCGAGGTACTGCTGCAACGCTTCTAGTCGGTCTTCAGCTGCCCACCGTCCTGGTCCTCTTGGGAGCCTTTTGGTCCGTGAAGCGGCGACCGACCATCTTCACCCCCGAAGGCAAGGAGGTTGACCAAGAGATGACGGTCAGTCTGTGGGACCGCTTCACATTCCGATGGGCTCCTGGTATCATGGCTGCTGGATCCAAAGAAGCGTTGGAATTCGACGACTTTCCCGCCATGAATCATGCTGTTCGCTCGAACGAAGCCACTGATGACTTTAGCGACATAGCCTTGAGCAGCTCCCTGCCATTGTGGATTCGCGTCGCTTGGCACTTTCGTGTCCAACTCATTCGCCAGTGGATTGCCATCCTGGTTTCCAATTTCTTCGACATCGGTCCGTCTTTGGCCATTTTGCAACTGCTTCAGTACCTGGAGACACGAGAGCTCTCAGATGCGCTTGACCCAACTGCGTGGAAATATGTCTTGACAATTGGTGCGGCCACTGTGGCCTCAACCCTAGTGGACTCGCGAATCATGTGGTGGGAGAAAGGCTATATTGTTGACGCTCTGCGATCGACTTTGACGGGTCTTGTCTATCGCAAGTTACTGAAAAAGAAGCTCAGCGCGGATCCCCCCAGGGAGGAAGAAAAGGAAAAAGAAGAGGTATTTGATCCAACATGTCTTGTGCACCAGTTTACTAACCTTGCCTCGCAGCCTGACAAGGATGGCCCCTCCAAGTCCGAAGAAGACATTATCAACATGTTCTCAGTTGACTGTAACCAAATCGCCATGTTTGCATCCGAGAGCTCCCGATACGTGAACATTGTGGGGAAAATGCTAGTGACAGTGACATTTTTGTGGCTTCTCATCGGCTGGCAAAGCTTGTGTGCTGGCCTACTTGGAATTGCGGTACTCTTCCCCATCAACCAAGCTTTAGCCAGGCGGTATGGTAAGAAGCAAAAGGCCCTCATGGCCGTTCGTGATAAACGAACCGCCATGACAACGGAAGCCCTGCACGGCATCCGCCAGATCAAATTCTCTGCGGCTGAAGACCAGTGGACCAAGAAGCTTGAAGCAGTACGTGAAGAGGAGCTGGCCGTGTTGTGGAGCAGCCGAGTGGACAATATCTACATGACCATTGGGTCCGAATTTTCTCCCGTGGTTTTGACATCCTTGTGTCTGGCGACATATTCGTACGTCTACGGTAGCTTACTACCCTCCGTGGCTTTCACAGCAATCAGTCTCTTCCGCCAGCTGGAAGGGATTGTTGCACATATTCCGTACTTGATGGTGGCAGCCATCACCGCCAAGGTGAGCTCCGACAGAATCGACAAATTTCTTCACTCGCCAGAGAAAGGCGAAAACACGCATCCAGGGGAGGCTGTCTCGTTCCATAGCGCTTCCGTGAGTTTCCCCTGCGACAATCCGGATTCCTTGACCGATCGGTTTACGCTGCGAAATCTCAACTTGGTATTCCCGAACCATGCGCTGAGCGTCATCTCAGGCCCAACTGGATCTGGAAAGTCCCTACTTCTGGCAGCCATTCTCGGAGAGGTCGAGGTTCTCAATGGCTACGTCCATGTTCCACGAGAGGCTTTCCCCCGGGAGCGCTTTGACAGCAAGGCCACGGCTGGGCACTGGATTCTTCCAACTGCTATCGCCTTTGTTTCCCAGACCCCATGGATCGAAAACGCGACCATCAAGAACAACATCCTGTTCGGTTTGCCATTCGACCCGGTCCGATATGGTCAGGTGATCGATGCCTGTGCGTTGACTGCTGATCTGGCCTTGTTCGAGGATGGAGATGAAACCGAAGTGGGCGTCCAGGGCGTCAGTCTCAGTGGCGGGCAGAAATGGCGACTGAGTCTGGCCCGCGCCATTTATTCGCGTGCCGGAATCCTGATTATGGACGACGTCTTTAGCGCGCTCGACGCCCATGTGGGCAAGCACGTTTATGAGAACGCAGTCATGGGCGAGCTTGCAGAGGGCCGAACTCGGATTCTCGCTACCCATCATGTGTCGTTGTGTTTGCCAGGAGCAAAGTACGCCGTCAGCTTGTCTGCTGATGGGACGCTCAAGCACGCGGGTACTGTGGACGAACTGGAGGCTGATGGCGAGCTTGAATCTATCAAAGAGGCAGAGGAGCGGGAGATCCTTATTGAAGAAGAGGGCCCGATAACCCCGGCTGCCCCTGCCACCCTCGCCACCAAGGCTCCGCCCAAGAAACTCATCGAGGACGAGAAGAGAGCGACGGGTCGCGTCGCAACATCTGTCTATTCTGGTTATCTCAAAGCCACCGGAGGATGGCCATTCTGCATCCTTCTGTTCGTGATTTTCACCCTGGCCGAGTCATTGAACCTGGGTCGGACCTACTGGGTACGAATCTGGGCGAATTCCTATGGGGACACCGAGGGAGTGTCACAGTACATGGTGTGTCCTTATAGAAACACCGCGCAGATATCGCTGGCAGGCTATTCGACGCAAACCCTGTGTTCAAGCAGCTCCAAGAGCCTTCCCATTGACATTACTCACCGCAGCGTCTGGTTCTATCTGGGGATGTATTGTCTGATCTCAACTGTGTCAGTGGTCGTTGCGGTCAGCCGTCTTTTCAACATCTCCGCTGGATCTGTTCGCGCGTCGCGGTCGATCTTCAAGGCTACGCTGCATAGTGTCTTCCGGGCACCTCTTCGTTGGTTCGATACGGTCCCCACAGGACGGATTCTCAACCGATTCACGGGGGATTTCACCTTGCTGGACTCGAACCTCTCAGAGGTGTTCTATTACTTTTCATCGGCAATTTGGGAGCTAATTGGAATTATGGCCGCCGCGGCTTTCATCTCGCCGTTCATGATCTTGGTCGCGCCTCCCTTGTTGGTCACGTGCGCCCTCATCGGACGAAAATACATTGGTGCTGCACGCACCGTCAAGCGACTTGAATCGAACAGCAAGTCCCCGGTGATTTCTCATTTTGCTGCCTCACTCAACGGCCTTTCTACCATCCGGGCTTTCTCAAAGTCCGACGAGTTTGCACAGCGGATGTACAAACTTATCGACACATACGCTGCCTGCACGTGGTATTCGGGTCTCTTGGGTAGCTGGCTCAGTCTATGGGTGGGACTCGTTGCCTCTTTGTTTCCAGCCGCTATAGCCGCGTTTGTAATTATGACCCCTGGCACCGACGCCAGCTTAGCTGGGTTTGCACTTTCATTTTCAGTGACGTTTCATTTTATGACCGCCTGGACGATCCACATTGCCACACGGCTGGAGCTGTACATGAACGCGACGGAGCGAATTTTCGAGTACCGCGACTTGCAGGGAGAGAACCCGGATGGGGATAACATCCGAGCTAGCTGGCCGGAGACGGGTAGGATCGAAGTGAACGAGCTTGAGGTTGGATATGCAGATGGATTGCCTTCCATCTTGAAGGGACTGACCTTTACTGCGGAGCCCAATCAGCGGATTGGTGTTGTTGGTCGAACTGGTGCTGGTAAGCTTATGTCCCCACCCTCTCCTACTAATTCTGCATAGTACTGACCGGACCAGGTAAATCCACGTTGTCCCTTGCGCTCTTCCGGTTCCTACAAACTCGCAGCGGCAGTGTGGTCATTGATGGTGTCGATATCTCTAAGATCCGACTTGACGATCTCCGCACCCGTCTCGCCATCATCCCGCAGGACCCTGTTCTCTTCTCTGGCACCATACGTTCCAATTTGGACCCCTTGGATCAATACAGTGATCACGAGATCCGGGAAGCTTTGATGCGCGTCCATCTTATCCCATCTGGAGGCGACACGCCGCTCCCTAAGCCCAACCAGGTTGACAGCTCCGGCGCTAGTTCGACAATCGCTGGTTCCGAGGAAAGCGGCAACGCCAACATCTTCCTGTCTCTGTCTTCCCCTATCACAGCGGGTGGATCGAACCTTTCACAGGGACAGAAGCAGCTCCTTTGCCTCGCACGCGCCATCCTCTCCCGACCCAAGATCCTGATTCTCGACGAGGCCACATCTGCTGTCGACATGGAGACTGATATCCTGATCCAGCGGTCCATCCGGGAAGCGTTTACGAACACTACTCTTCTGGTGATCGCGCACCGTCTGAGTACGGTGGCGGACTTTGATCGTATTTTGGTGATGAAGGACGGTGTGGCGGCGGAGTTTGGTACTCCCGGCGAGTTGGTAGAAATGGAGGGTGGAATTTTCCAAGATATGGTGAATAAAAGTGGGGAGGAGGAGGAGGAGCTAAAACGGATGATGTTGGAATAGATAGACTTGTCTTTTTTCATTGTGATGTTTACATATTCACTAAAATATAACGAGGGCGTAATTGATTCAGCGGTAGCCTGCGAAAAGTTCACATATCGCATATGCTCTTAACAACTTCGCCATCCCGTACCCAGATTGCAGATATCACAAACCATGGATATTAATGTTAAAGCCTGACATGATGAACCATCCCAAACACGCCACCTACCTTGATCATATGTTCCTCTGAGATTCGTTCTGTAATACATGTGGATAACAGAAGATCGTGTTGTGACTTAAGAATAGGAACATAGATCGGGCTCTTTGTATGTAATCACTTTTCAGAAAAAGAAATAAAAACGATGAAATGGGAATGCATACGGATGTCCTGTCAATCCTAGCTCATAGGGAAAAGTTTCTATTCATTTCATTCGCACTAGTTTAATGTACCTAGAACAACTATCTCTACCTGTCTTGTGGATAATTAAAACGGTGCATCATTGCAATCGTGCATTGAAAGGCCGACTAAACAATTCTTTTCAATGAGACATACATCTGAGTCACCATATGTTTCATGCTATATTGAAAAGAGCCTTGTGACGCAGCCTCTAAGGTCTACCATCCAACAGACAACTATTTCTACACATCGTCGATAATCAAAAAATTCCGTGATCAATTTGGCAACAACAACAAACGAGCAGCTCCAATCTCGTAAACCCACCCCTCACTCCACCGATTCCTGCCCCGCCCTCTCCAACTCCAAATAATCAAACAACTGCACCCCATCACAAACGCCATAAAAATACGGAAACCTCAAATCCGGCAACTTCTGAAACACCCTGCGCCACTGCTCATCAATGAGATACTGCAGCTCGAGAAACAAATACTCAAACTCGGACCCCACGCACGCCGTACACGGATAAAACAAAAACAACATCTCGAACCGACACACCCCGGGCTCGTCATTCGCGTACCACATAATCCGATGCTTATTCTGCAATCGCTTCAATGCGGTCACGAGGACCCCCAGGACCCGGTATTCGGGGAGTAGGATGCCGCCGAGTCCCATGGTGTGGATCTCGGATTGGACGTCCATCTCGGAGAAACATACGCGGATTCGGATGTATTCTGGGGTCTGGGCGGTGTAGATGACGTCGATGTTGTGGTCGGCGAAGGTTCGGAATCTTGAGCGTATGAGTGGGGTTAGGGGCTCGGTGCGTTGCTTGAGGGAGATGATGCGGCTGCGGGGCCAGATGTTGGGTTCGTCCATGTTCGGGTCTTGCTATGAGGGATGTTGGGTGGTGTGGTGGGTGAGTGGGAGCCAGTTGGGTCAATGGCTTTGTTTGTTGGTGGTGTAGAGATATGCTAGAGGTGGGTTATGGACATACTTATAACTGTTCTTTGGCTGCTCAGGGGGTGAGGTCCGAGTAGATATGGGTATCTGTCGTTGCAACTGCGTCTCCAAGATCCTATCGGGCAGTCTCAGTCAATGACATTATCCATCCCTCCATTGTGCTTGTCTTTGTTCAATTGATGGGTTTCAAGGTGTGGTTGTCAGATATCTCATGTCTTTCACTGGACGTGGTTTTAGGGTCTACATAGGTATATTGTTGATGAAATAACCCGACTACATAAACCTGGTGTCCGAGCTCGTCCCACGAGCTCAAGGGTCCAAGTCTTGTCTTCTCATTACTCTATCTAATATTGCTAGGAATGTTTGATGGTATTCAGGTTTCCGCGTCGTAGTGGACTGGATATTCTGTATGAGATAATATTTGGCATGTCTATTACTAATTTACCACAATTACAGAGGAGATATAATACTTGAACTCGTGGTGTATTGAAATCATGGAGATCAAGTCTAGGGTCAGGTTATTACATCACGTCTACTACTTCTACGAGGATTACAATAAGACTAGAGGAAATTGATCAATAAAAAAAAGATATGTCACAGATGAATATTCTTAGAAAGCACTAGCTGAGTCTGTAAGAACAAGGCGAGCACAATCACTTGGATACTATCTGAAGAGATTGAAAGAGTGTTGATCAACTGACAAATCATAAAGAGCGACTTAAGCAATCCGGCCCAAATGTCAAACAGCATATAGTTACGTTGGTATGCACTGCTAATTGGGCTGAGGTAGGCGTTCCACGAGAGTCACGTCAAGTACACCGTTGGTTGCGCGCAAGACCTCGAGTTGCTCATTGGAAGGTACCCAATAGACACCGATGAGCTTGCAAAGGCCCCTCAGATAGGGAAACCAGATCTTTCGATCGAGCGGATTGAACGAGTTACGTTGCAAGCCATTGGCGAGATATTCCAGCTCACACCGCAACAGATTAAACACGTCCGCGATCTCATGGCAACAGGGATAAATCTGGCAAGTCAGCACCACCGTGCCGGGCATATCATCGGGGTTGACCCATATGCCCGTCTGAATCTTTCCATTCAACACCTCGATGGCTCTTCGCAAGATATACCGCATGTTGATCGGGAGAAGTCGACGCTCTTGTCCCTCGGTCCAAATGAGCGGTGTGATGTGTTCGGCCAGAAATGGATTCGAGGAATAATCTAACGATCCGATGCCCATCGCAACGGGGATCTGGATGAGCATGTTGCGCTCCATGATACCATCATCCGGCGTGAACTCGACGCCGTTGTTTTGGAAATTAAACATCCTCGTGTAATATTCTTCCCTGGTCATACCGACGCAGAGGAGATGTGCGAATCTCAGCTCATAAGGGTGCCAGCCATCGCCGTGTATCACTCGACGCAATAGTTTCTGCTCCATGATGTGAAATCCATCCTGATCCGGTTCGGTCCCTTTTGCGTTTTGAATAGCCTGTCTTCGATAATAGTACCCTCCTTCGGCAGTTACGAAGGGTCGCTCAGGTATGTTGGGGCGCGCATTTCCGTGGGGGTTCATGATGATTGCTTAGTAGTGGTGTTGAATATAGACGAAGAGAATGATGAAGTGAATGCTTCGTGCAGAGACATTCTCAGCGTGGGTTATGAGAGCCTTTAAGTGTCTATGTAGGGCTGGATGCTTGGGTTGCATATGATCAATCCGAATAAATTATGTTATCTGCCTTTGATGTTTCCTCGAGTAATTCTAGGCCTGAGTCGAGAGACTAGGTCTCCATATTGCCATGTGCATGGAACGGTAATACCCTGCTGTCTGGCTGATCTCTGGGACATGGTTCAACCAGACTTTCCACAAGTTGCCTATACTCTAGATATTCCAGTTGTTTTGTGTTACAGCTGCGTTTCATACTGCCTCCTGTCTCACTCGATGTTTGGTACATATATCTTTGGGGGTAGAGACCGTCAAGTTAGATAATTCTTGGCCTGTCTAGACAATATTAAGAATTGGCGATTGCGTCTTTCACTAGCACTACAAAACTATTTTGGGCAATTTCTAGGAGCCAGAGACTGCCTTCCTCTTAAGCCATTTACATAAACTCTCTTGTATTTTTCAATATATTCCACCCAAATTCCAGTCGACCACACCCAAAGACACAGAGAAATGCAATCACATCTCTTTCAACCGATCCAACAAGAACTGGAAAATATAATTTGCAACTCCAGTAGACCTCTCAATCAATTCCATCTGTTGCTCAATCTTTCCCTCCAAAGAACGTAACGTCTCTTCAGTAAACGTAAGACTCCCTTGATCTTGCATCTCATCCAAGATCAGTCTTTTCAGATCATCTGATAACCCGGAATGTCGTGCCCTTTCACAGAGGATATTTTGCAGTAATACCGAATTCGGTGAGTGTGTCATGACGTGAATAAGAGGGAGGGAGAATTTGCCTTCGTCGAGGTCTTGCGCGAAGCCTTTTTCTTTTTGGTACTGATGGGTTTGTTAGATGATGGCTTATTCGATATTGAGGCAGGTGGGAAGGTATACCTGGGCTGATGCGAGGTTTATGTAGTCATCACGGGCTTGGAAATATTGGCCTAGGAGGATCATGAGGTCGTTTATGTCGTTCTGGGCGATGGTCCTATCATGTGGTCAGTCTATGTTCACCTTTCAAGTTTAGCTAGTGAGTGATTGTGACATACTCAGGCGAGAATGACCCGTTGATATATAAAAGATGGCTAGCGAGACAGAACAGCGCACCAGTTTCTAATCATTGTCAGTATGAAGATGGCCAATGCGTATATGTAAAGGGATCGTACTCAACCGATTCATTTCCATATATTCTGCAATCGTCGGACACTGCCCACACCGTGTCCAGTGGAGGTCCATCGCTTGTCCCAGGTGAAGATTCCGTACCTCATCTACCCAACAGTCAGCTTAGTCTCAAGGGCTTTCTATGGTGGGCTAACCAAAAAATCCGCTCGCGGTATCTGATTTCATTAATGGAGCAGCTTTTTCGAACGCCAATGTAAGAGCAAACGTTGCGGCATTAATTGTCTGCGGCGCCCCAAACACACGATACGTGGCTGGTCGGCCCCTTCGAAGCTCAGAGCTGTCTTGTATATCGTCCAGAAGCAATGACGAGTCATGGAGATGTCCGATCAATGCTTCCACTTGGCGTACTGCCGGATCAGGTGCTTTGAGCCATAGGTTTAAGGCTTGAATGATAGTGCCTCTGACGTTTTTTGAGGGAACACTCCGGAGATATTGGATGGGTTGTTGGAGAATCTAATGTGGTATTAGTGTTCTGCGAGAAACCCAGTGACAAATACTGGGCAAGACAACTAACTTTATGGTATGAGTCCTTTGCTGTTTCATGGATATTAATAGTGGGTGATACTCCATTTATCATACCTCCCAGAGACGAGCCCTTGATTAAAGTAGCGCATGTTGCCGTGTTTTCATCGAATTGAACGACTGTCCCATTTGAAGGTACCAAACCAGCCAAGTTTGGAACGTCCATCCAGCGGTGGAAGCGATTAGCCACAGCACTCCAGTACCAATTTCCAGATAGACCTAGGCCAACCATCTCCAGAAAATAGGCGATATCTTTCGACTTGTATGTCTTCTCATTGCTCGCCAGGTATTCTCTCTTTTTGGCAATAAATTGTTTCTCTAGAGGCGCTATCTTCTCCTTAAGTAGTAGTTCTTTTGCCTGTGAGACAGTCAAGTTGAGTGTTTCCATCAGATACCACACTGCATTTGACATTGTGGAATTTGTGGGCAGCTCTAAGGACACCTCCTTGTTGAAGCTATACAAGTCGTTGACTAGCGCAGCAGCAGCAGTGGCAGGCCACCACACTGATTTCAAGTCTTCAATATCTGCAGCAGTCAAGTCCAGCTCGCAGCAGTAAACGATCGACATCAGACTGAACCTGCTCAAGTGTCAGCAGCCACCATGAGCCCATATTGCATCGAACCTACTCCGTCCCAAAATCATAGACACGGTACTGCAGCAAATCTTCCCATGACTTGAAATCTGTCGCACCGAGTGTCTCATGAATCTTGGATAAGTTGTTAATGGCCTTGAGTACCAAGTTGCCTCGGTTTCTGTCAACTTTGAGAAGACGCAGAAACACCTGCGATTGGATCTGCTTTATTGCGCTAACTTGAAGACCGCTCGCTTCACTCTTTCGCACCTCCCATCCAACTGAGTCTGGTGCATCTTTGGGGTGTGTCTAAATATCCTGTTAGTATCTCAGAACGAGCTATGTCGGTTTAGCTATACCTGCGAAGTACCACTGGTTGTGACCACATCTGTGATGTATTAGCGATCCATTGTCCATAAATACGCCGCTCAGGAAATACCCACCATCATGAGCACAAAAGTATTCGAGCAGCCAGGTAAAAGCTTCTACTCGATCCGGTTTAATCTCAGGGGGAAAGAAGGCAGACACATGCCCCTTCGGCGAGCTTCCTCCATGGAAGGCGAATCCCACTTCCGCCTCCCATTGCCGATGGAATACAATAAGTGCCTTCTCAGCCACATCTTTATACTTGCTGATACGGACAGGGAGAGTAGTTGCACAAACACGAGCAACTTCCTCCCGATCAACAAGATCGGAATGCACGAACTTGATATCGCCAGATGCCATTGTCACTTTTGACTTCAAGGTTGAAGCCTAGGACCAGATTGAGTTAACTGATTGAAATGGCAGGTGGGGATATGCATAGTCATCTTGCAGAGAGGAAGAAGCTATTTAAGGACAGGAATTCCTGACTGTGGCGAGTCGATGTTACTGTAGAGACGGAGAATGTAGCGCTGATCATCGTCATTATTGATCCGGGGGTTATATACTCCAGGACACTTACATTAAGCCGGAAATATACTCCGAGACATACCGACACTTGATTCAGCACTCATTGCATACATAGTACACCGTAACTAACTATGAATCTAGCGTTGGGATTTTGCAGCTGCAAACTTGCCTTTATTTCTTTACATAATGGGGCTGTGCACTGGTACTTGCACACTCGGAAGCCCTATGAACCTCATCACTGCGCTTAACATCACTGCAAAATTGCTATTGTAAACTATTAATAAGTGAACCAGAATTAATGCGTGGGGCAGTCTGGCATATTTTAGTTCTTGATCGTCTCTTGGGAGATCCGAAACCAACATGTTCTAGCCAAACAATTCGCCACATATACTATTTTTGACTTCAACTAGATCGGCAAAGCTAGACGATCATGCGATCAATGCGGCGATGAATCGCCAACGCATTGGCCATTCTGCACGACCTAAGAATGCAGGGCTGAAGGCAGCGGGCTGCCCCCATCGCCGATTTTGTTGGGCCGCCGGAAGCGGGCCAGCTAAAAAAAAAAAAAAAAAAAAAAATTAAAAAAAAAAAGAAAATAGAAGGAACCCCCAACCACGATGGCAATAAAGGCACGATCAATTTTAGTGATCTTGAATGACTTGTCAAACTGGCCTTGTCAAATAATTCTTTGATAGCTGCAGGACATACATGCCCCAGTTAATTCTGTGGTCAAGGCATCTGGTTGCCGGCGGCCTTGCAGTGCTTACAGATCTGACTTCGTAACTAGCAGTGGATCTGTTCAAGTTTTGCTTTTGACTCAATAGGCTGAATCTCATCGCCATGGGATTGGGTTAAGCAGGTGGGGGTGCGCCGTAGCTATTGGACCTGTCATCCAGATTAAACTGACATAGCTGAGCAACCATCACAAATGTCTCTGAAAATCAATAGTTTATGCACCCTGTTACTAGACTGACTTGAACCGGTCTCGGCATGCCGAATGACTAGATCTGGCCTCACCAGTCTTCAGATCGGATGAATTAGTTGACTGACCTACTAGATCAACCAAATTGGATCGAATACCCAAGACGGCATGAGTGATTGGCCAATCAAATGTGGGAATGCAGATGATGTGTCCTCATCATGGGAAGTGCTTTGTGGGTCGTCTGTCCTTGTGAGGCTACCCCAATACATATGTACAATGGTCCACCATAGTTATAAAAGCGACATGTTTTACATGCACAGACGTCGCTCCGGGGAGTTCAACCACTGCTTGCCGTTTCTTTTGCGATTGTAAGGCGACGTGCAGGGGCTGTCTAAAATACATCTGCATGGCCAGAATTTTGTGCTGCATGGGGATCGATGATTCCATACAGAGGAGTGTACCAAAAGTGTCTACTAGCCTGTGGTATTTAAACTAGACTAGTGGTCAGGTCTTGTGGTACTAGTGCCTGGCAGACACTTTTAGTGCACTCCTCCATAGAGCTATACATATCGCCCTTCTGTCCTGAAATCGATTGTTCCAGACTGCTGCAGCCGCCTAGGCCTTCCCTAAGCAGCCTCGTACAACTTATATTAAAAGGTGCCATCCTAATGACACGTGGAATGTCTCAGTGCTCGGACAACAACTGTGATCTGCTCCAGGCTGCGGAGTCGTACCACCCAGCGGAATGCCTGTTTCCTCCACGAGCGTGCTTTAAAGCTTGCTTGATAGGTATCCAGTAGTGGCATGACGTGTCCTTGCTACTCACGCACAGATAAGTCAGTCCGGATGTTTATCAGCCTTGTCAGCCCTATAATAGTGCATTGAAATAAGTAGTACCTGTGGAACGGGCGCTTCGGCTTGTCTTTTGACTGACTACAAAATATATTCTCACCAAATGGTCAGTCACTCCACAACTGAAGCATATTGGTCGCTAGAGACTTCCTATAACAACTAATTGAGTGAAGTCATGTCACTTCAAACACCTGTAGTCAAAATAGTCCTGATTGTCATCATCGATCCTCGGTCCCTGTCTAAGCAGCATAAGGTACCAGAACCCCAGATCTTAACTCAGCCTTGTCCTCCTTGCAGAACACTCTCCTCAGTAATAGATGGAGTTGACAATCAAAGGCCAGTGGAAGCGCCAGTGGATCCTGCACGTGCATCCAGCAGCCCTACCTTCCAAGTCCATCAACTCTAACCGCCAAACCTTATAATTCCGAGGAGCGCTAGAAACCGGGCTCCGAGACTCTAAACCCTGTTTTCGGGCTCCTCAACCCCACGTCATCCGGGGCGTGATAATAACATCAATCTATATAGCTGCACTGCCCAGCATTTCGCGGTTCGAAGATTAGTGCTTAGTTGTCATATTTTGTACTATCACCCCACACAACCAAATAAGGGAATTTCACCATGTCCTACACCGGCCACTGCATATGGAAAGGCATCCAAGTCTCGCTGGATCAACAGCCTGCGGATTTTCTGCGATGTCATTGGTAAGAGATCCTAACCCGTCTTATCTATCTCGGATCTAATGTTTGGGGAATGTAGTCGCAATTGCGCCCGCTCGTGAGGTGGTATGTACCCCGCATGCCTTCTCTCTCTACATTGCTACTCGTATTGACCTACCGCAGGCCCCTCGATTAACTACGTCCTCGACGAGAGCAAAGTAACCTTCACTAATTCCAAATCCGTCCTAAAAACCTACAATGATACAGATACCCAGAGTGGGAATGTTGTCTTGGTATGCCCCTCTCCCTCCTCTCTCAGCTCCCTTCCCCGTACCAACCTCCTCATGATACAGCGCCAGTTTTGTAGCCAATGCGGAAGGTAACTCTCATCCCCTCTCATCTCAACTCACCTTTATAGTTTCTTGCTAGAGGAAAGATAAATAGTAGGTTTGCACTGAGGCTATTTTGGGTTAGTTAATCGTATTTTGGGCATCTCGTCTGAACCAACAGCATTACCACAGCAGAAAACCAACATGATCCCCCAAACAATGAAAGCCCTCCGTCTCGTGCAGGTAAACCCCTACCCCCTTGTCCTCAACCCTAACACCCAATTAACACAACCAGTACGACACCCCCCCTCAACCCCATAACCTCCACCGACGTCCTCATCAAAGTCGCCGCCGCCGGCTTCTGCCACACGGACTACCAAGTCTACGAAGGCGTCTATAATTCCCGGGAAATCCGACTGATAGTTCGAAACGGATCCGAGGGGTCGCCTGCTCTACCGATTTAGAGGGATAGGGCCTAGCTTAGATCCATGAATGGATCTATACCTTACTATCAGGTCATCTTGTCTGGTGGCAAGCAGCAGTTCAGACTCGGGGGAAGTGGCAGCGGAAGAGGGGGTGTTCGGGAGTGTCATTCCCTCGGGCCGATATTTACTCGTAATTCCGAGAGATGCTGCGATTCGTCAATCTTCCAAGAAGCAGCCTGCCGCCTCGAGGCCAGGCGAGAAGGAAACACACGAATTTCTATTAGTTAACTTTTCTTTTTCACATGAATCGGGCCCAAGGGTCCATTGAACTGTCGCTTACATTATGTGTATGAGCCTGTCCACGCCCTAAATACTAAGATGAGCGGATGCCTGTGCGACTTCATGGCTCCGAGACCGTAACTCTGTCTCGGACCTACGAGCCCTACGAGTTCCCTAACCACGGCAAAACGAAGCTATCAAACATATGTAGTGGTAGAAGCAGCAGCAGTAGTAGTAGTAGTAGAAGAAGAAGAAGAAGAAGAAGAAGATGCATTAAATGTTGGGTAGAGACGCTGTGATCTACATGAACTCGGGTGACTTGCTAAGCGGTTTAGAATGTTCTAGGACGGAGAATATATAAAAAGAGATGACGAAAATAATCTGAACTACATTACATTAAAAACGCATCTTGCCAGTCTGTAAGCTTCTGAAGAGAGAAAGGGCATAAGGAAGTGGAAAACATATCACAAATAGCCATTGTCGGACGTGAGCGACCGGTTCCACGCTCCTGCACTAGCAAAAGTTCTCATTACTTTGTTGTGTTTGCCTGCAAAAAATTGCCCGAGAGTGAAAGAGAAGACATGGAAAAACAAAAAATGGAGCTGCGGGGAATCGAACCCCGGACCTCTCCCATGCTAAGGGAATATTATACCACTAAACCACAGCCCCATTTGATGAAATAATCGCGTAGTCTTTTGCGTCACAAACTTGCAATTAAGGGACTGGCTGCGGCTGCTGGAGTGTTGAATACAATCAGCCAATGAACTCTGGTCGGAATGGATCGAAAATTGAGATCGCCAGGGGTGACCCACTTATCCATGCAGAACCCTACACAATACTGTACGAGTCCAGTGTCTTCGTATCACACAAGCCAACGGTAATCGATCTTATGTTGTGTATGCCCGATGGTGACGGATGTCATATGTGTAGTATTAACTAAATCATGCTTTCCACCAACCCTAACCTAGCTTAGAGGCACGAAGCACCCTGCAGTTGTCCCATTCACGACCTGGTGGAGCGCCGAACTCTATTTGGCCACTATCGCCTATGCACCAAGCTTTGTCCCGTTCCCTATCTTGAAAGATCCACTCTCGGGAACAAAGACAGAAAGATCAAAGATATAAGATGAGATCCATGACCCGTCTGCCATTCTTGCGATCGCCTTGGCCTAGCCCTCCGCCTCACAATGCGTCTCGCCGCTCTCCTGGCCACCGCGTCCCTGGCTCTCTCTACATCCACCCTAACCCGGGACGTAGTCATCCTCGGCGGCGGCTCAACAGGAACCTACGCCGCCGTCCAACTCCGCTCGCAAGACAAAACCGTCGCGCTCGTCGAAAAGAAAGACAAGCTCGGTGGCCATGCGGAAACCATCTACCTCCCCGACGACCAATACGTCAACTACGGCATAGAAGGCTTTTTCAACAACGACCTCACCAAAACCTATTTCTCCCAACTAGACGTCGACTACGAAGCCCTCCTCCCGGGCTCCCTCCTCACCAACTACGTCGACTTCCGCACCGGCAAGCCCGCCCTCCCCGGCGACGGCATCCTCGACACCATCACCGGCCTCCTCCTCTACCGCGCCGCCATCGCCCAATTCGACTCCCTCTCCACAGGCGCCTACTATCTCCCCGACCCCATCCCCGAAGTCCTCCTCCGGCCCTTCCATGAATTCGTCTCCGCTCACGCCCTCCAAGGCGCCCTCACCCTCATCTTCGAATTCGCCGAAAACGTCGGCGACCTCCTCAACACCCCGCTCCTCTACGTGATCCAAAACTTCGGCATCCCGCAAATCGACGCCCTCCTCAACGGCGGATACATCCGTCCCAAAAACGGCACCGACACCCTCTTCAACAAAGCTGCCACTTACATCGGCCCGGAAAACATCTTCTCCTCGACCACAGCCATCTCTACCTCACGCAACGAAACCGGCGTGGAGGTCCTCGTCCAGAATACCAACGGCACCCAGACCCTCATCCGCGCGAATTCCCTCCTCATCACCTTCCCCCCAACCCTCTCCAACCTCGCATTCCTCGACTTATCGTCAACCGAACAATCCCTCTTCTCCAAATGGACCCACATGCAATACTACGCCGCGACCATCACCAACACCGGTCTCCCAGATGGGATCAATATCGCGAACGTAAACCCCGATAACCAACCGGGGAGTCTTCCCCTCCCCCCCTTTCAGTGGGAACTAGAGTATTCTGGTGTGCCGGGGTACTTTATGACGAAGATCGTCGCGCCGGCAAACTTTACCGCCGAGGATGCGAAACAGCTCATTGTGGACAATTTGAGGAGTATGCGTGATGCAGGGACGTATGATACCACTCAGGATCCAGAGATTGCGGCGTTTGCGTCGCATTCGCCCGAGACACTGATGGTGGGGGTTGAGGAGATCAGGGAGGGGTTTTATGATAAGCTGCATGGGTTGCAGGGGAAGAGGAGTACGTATTATACGGGGTATACGTGGTGTACGGATTATTCGACCCCGTTGTGGAATTTTACGGATGCGGTGGTGGGGATGATGCATTTGTAGGTTCAGCTGCCTGACGGTTGTTGCTCTTTGCAGTGACGGGGATGTGATGTACATAGTTGTTTGAGGTGGGTAATGTACATGGACTGGAAGAATCTATTATCTTATAAAAGATATTTAGGATCTCACTGCCTTGTACTTCCATGAGAAGGGTATCTATCCCATTGGGCTACGTGAACTAGTACGCGCTGATGACTTGATAGCCCGGCTTCCGGTTGTGTGAGTACCTTTTCATGGGCACGTCTGAATAAGATGAGATATTCTGTCCGTTTATTGACGCGAGCATCCAGAGAACCTATACATCTGTAGACCATCGGAAACTCACCTGCTCAGCCTGCCCAACCCACCCCTTGCTGCCTGCGTGCATTAGGGCTACGATATTATAGGGCTGAAAAGCGCACTGGCATGACTTGTTGTGAAAGGAAATCATTATAGAGAGCTATTGTGCGGTAGATAAAGTTACCAGTTATTCCTTCTTTCATTGTGCAAGGGACATTTGTAACTGCGCTGGTGTGCTTTTTATGGATTGCGTCAACTAGGATAGCGCCTGACTACTTTCCCACGGGCTATGGTCTGATCCTTGAGGTCATAGATGCCGCTGTGTGACAGAAACTCTTGTTCAAGGATAAGCAAGGACAGTGTGATGTCACACGAAAGAGCCTGGCATTGATTGTCACCTGTCCCTTGCTTACCACCCGCTGGAGGTATGACATCCAAGCACCCATCCCAAACACGTGCTGCATAATCTAGTGGTCGGATTAATGATGGCACTACTACCGGTTCTCTGCATACTCTTGCGCTATCCCTGAATTCCGGTTACACAATCTGGTCATACCCTGTTCTTTGAAAATGATCATCTTTCCAATCTCCTTTCATCATGTAACTGGATATGTTTGCTTCCAGTTCAGGTAGGTCCATCAATTACACACATACTGATGGCTGTACCGACAGTGGTCGACAACCGGTCTGCTGAGATATCGACTTTTAGCTATCCTGATGATGATGACATTGCTTTTAGACGGCCTCCTGACTGTTCCATATGAAGGATAGATTTCCGAAAACGTTGACCTGCACGTCTCATCCAATTCCCTCGGCCTGTGAGTGTAGTGAGCAGCCCCCAAATGCCAGAAAGGCCATGCTATTCGTCCCAAAACGGAGTAACGATCGTTGGAACACCAAATACTACCACATTCTCTCGTCGCGATATTCAAACCCTCTCGCCACGAGGAAGTCTCCTCAAGGGTATTCATCTCCGCCGTCCCAGCCATTTGCACATTCTTTAACCATATGAATGACCTTCTCTCTTGTCCGAAAGAGATCCTGGCAGGCGAGACGTGAAACTTTCTCTCTATGAAGACTAGGACCACTCGACAGGCGGGGAGGACCTCGCGGTTTGGGTCCGGGTTGTGGACGTTTCGGGATACGTTTTATGAAACGGTGGAGGAGGTGCGACGGACGACGCTGGCGTTGGATCGCGTTTTTGTGCAGTGCGCTGATGTGCACAGTTCTGGGGAGGTCGGTGGGGAGGTCCGGTTAGCGGCGAGGCTTTGGACTGCGTACAAGCATGGGTTTGTGGATTGGCATATGAATTGTGAGCGGTATGGGTGGGGGGATGTTGGTTTCGAGGAGTAGAGTTTACTTAGTAGGGAGGTTTGTGTTGGTAGGTGTTTTGCTGCTTGTTGGGGATTGCGGGCAGGGTGCGTGGTGCGTGGTGCGTGTTGTGTGTTTACTTAGAGCTGGTAGTAACGTGTTCAGATGTATGGATTTGATGTTTTTTTTTTCGATGAGAATCTCACCACGGACTTAATAGTACATCTACTCTCTTGAATCTAGAAATACCAAGTGTATGCTCGCACAGGGCAGCTCGCGCACATCTCTTCACATGTCCTCAAATTAGCCCGATTCGTCGAGGTCGTGAAAGTGTAGCGTTTGAAAGAGTTGCAGAACCGAGGCTGATATATGGCTTACTAGTTGGAAAGATTCTGTATCTCTGTGTCGAGCTGGACAGGACTTTTTTTGCCATGAAAACGTCCAGTGCTGAGTCTGACGCCCCTCATCCTTTTAGATATGTATCATTCACAGGGTGAGTTTAGACCAGACCATCGGAAAGAATTGTGCAGGGAATTAACAAAAGACTTAGACTATCTGTATTTATTAAAGGAAAGAAACAGAGCCAGGTATTTTACCAAACAAGAATGAAAGTAAGCACCGCACTCAAGACGGGAAGAACTCCCCAGATATATCTCTTAGACGCAGCACCTGTGAATTGGGCCGAATCGGCTATAAATATACTGAATGCTTGTCCGGAAAGAGTCCCACTGCCTTCAATAAATCCAGGGGTAGGGTGGCTGTAAACGAGACTGGAAGAGGGCGCCAGCGAAGCGGAATGAGACTGATTGGACCAGGGGTGAATGCCGAAGCTATGGTTCCCTTTCATTCCGGAGCCAGCGGGAGAGGAGCCGTGTGGGGATTGGCCCTGTGGTATAGGAGCACCAGGTCTGCCGGGGTGGCTGTCACTGTTTCCAGAGGGGTGAGTAGATGTTCCCTTCCCGGGTTGGCTTTGGGAATCGGCGCTGACGCCGGTGTCCGGTGCAGGGAAGTCAGTTGGATGGCTGTAGGGTCCGGTTGAGATTGGATATGCTGTCTCGGTGGGCATAGACTCCGTGACTGTCCGAGTGATGTATAGTGTTGTAGTCATGGGGAAGGCGGCCGTGGTGAGATGCGTTGCTTGTCCTTTGGTGATTGTGTAGACCTCGGTTGTGTAGTAGACTGTCGTGATTGCGGATACCGTTGTGCTTTCAGCAGAAGGAGCGGGTTGAAGAACTGGGACAGTAGCAGCATTTGAAACCCCGGTCGCTTCCACGGTGATGGTCAAAACAGTGACTGATTCCACTACGGTTTCGGTGGTGAAATGGGTAGTCTTTTGGGAGTCAGCGCAGTGCGCGACTGACGAAGGACAGGCAGTAACGGGGTGCACTTTGGTGGTATAGACTATAGACGTCGTGAGGTGTTCACTCGGGTGTTCCCCGGACTGTTCGCTTATTGTTGTTGCAACAGGAACAGCTGTCTCCGTGGCTGTTACCGGGCAAATGGTGGTGTATGCGACAACGGTTTCAGTTGTGAGGTAGGTCGTCTTTTCGGAGGCGACACAATGTGGGTTCCATTGGGGGCAAGCGCTCATAGTATGCACCTGGGTGGTATATACAGTGGATGTGGTGAGGCTTTCGTGAGGTTGGACAGCAGTGCCTGTCGGCTCAACAGTGCTTGTGCTGGTGGCGCCTGCACTATTCTCAGAGGCAACTGGACAGATGGTAGTGTAGAGGGGCACGATCTCTGTCGTGTACTGGGTGGTTTTTGCCGAGGCGGGACAATCCGGGACCCAGGATGGGCAGGCTGTAACTGTTTGCACTTGAGTGGTGAATACAGTGGACGTTGTCATTTGTTGTTCAGCAGACGAGATGGTGTCCACAGTACTTTGCGCAGCAATTGTTCCAGTAGCTCTTGTAGGGCAAATTGTAGTCTCAATGGCAACTGTCTCCGTAGTGAAAATAGTTGACGTTTTGGTTGAGCGGAATATCGAAGGTGATGCACTGGCTGTTCTTATATTGCGCCCACGAGTAGGGCTCATGGTCGGTATAGAAAGCGGACTCGATGCTCCCGCGGCTGAAGGAGATGGACTGCTTTGAACAACATTTATGGATGACGTTTGGCTGGATCCTGCCTGTGAGGCAATAATAGAGCTTGAGAGGGACGGCGAAGGGCGCGACGAAAGAATGACTGCAGCAGAAGATGGTTTGGCAGATTCGGACGGCAACGTGGAGCTTCGAATAACAGGGACTGATGAAGATACCGAACCCTGGGACGCGATTGGGGAGACAGTTGACACGGCCAAAGACAAAGGAGCTGAAGATGGAATAACGATAGCTGACGTTGACGCAGACAAAGGAACGACTGTGGAAGAGCTTTCAACAGAGGTAGACGTCGCACAAGGGTTGGAATCCAATCGTAAAGCAATGTAGTTCACGACATTGTTATCAGGGTCACTGTAATCATAGGGCACGTAGTCGTAATCGATCCTTCCACTTTCCGAGTAACAAATGTTGAGGAACCAGTACGTTCCAATGCAGTTGGAATAGGTCGAGCAAACCTCTATGCAACCCCAGATGTCGTCTTGCCGCGAATTGGGGAGAAATCCTGAGTAACCCTGTACGGTATCACTGCACAGCACCTGGTAGTAATCGCCATTGTATTCATAATATCCATCAACGCATTCCGTGGTAGTGGGCAGGGCCGAAATTGTGCATGCCGAAGCTGAAGTCACAGTGGAAGTGACTGAGGTGGGAGTCACTGTGACTGCGGGAATGGTTGCTGCCGACACTCGCTGCGATAGAGCAACGAGGATGGGCAGCCAGGACTGGGTCCAGGTTCGGCCCATGGTGCAGTCATGAATGGATATTATATTATAAAAGAATGAATGGTGCGTAAAGATCGACGAGGTGTTAATCCGTATTCATTTGAGCAGCGATCAAAGCTTCCAGCTGGCGGTCTTCATTGAATGGGAACAGCAAGGGTTTAAATTTAAAAAGGGGACAGCATCAGGTACCTGACGCACCGGATTCCTGCGGCTGAACACCGGTTCCGATTGATTGGTAGGCTTTTCCTGTCTGCTACCTGGGACTTTTTCACCAGGGAATATTAAGCGATAATGCGCCATGACTCCACCGGGCTCGGCGGAATCGATTCCCTGAACGGAGGTCCGATTGATATCGGGGTCAAAAGAGCCGATCATTTCGCCCATCCTGATTGGATGAAGCAAGACCGAGGTCATGGGTTCCTACTGAGCCCTCCGGATATGGAAGTATTATTTCAGCTATTCCATTTATTTTTGCATCCTCGTTCCTGCCATAGGAAAATATGCCGAGTCTGTGCCGTCACATGCATAACCTTTTGAGAGCTCCTATCTAGTCTACTCTTGTCCCGGAGCGTCTCCTATAACCTTTTCA